TTCTAGACGGCCCTGAAAATGTGAAAAATTTGAAAACGAAATTCTGCCGGCACACTGCCATGAAACTTATACACTTTGGTCAAGACTGTCTGTCTCACTGTTTGAAGTACTGAGGGAAAACATGTGCATCACATAGTCAGTATTTAGGTGAAGCAATAATGTGATCAATAGCAAAATGGAGGATAAAATCTTTTTTCTGCTTCAGTGATGATGGCGCTCACTACTATCCATGTCCGGTTCCATCATGTGACTACAGCAGTGAAAGTCGTTCTGCTAGGAATTATCACCTGAGGGTTGATCATGCTGGCTACGATTATCAAAATGCTGCGCAGGGGTCATCTGGACCGGGCACGTCTCGGCAGGTCACTCGTAAGGTAATGGCTGTTTCAACATTATTCATTTCCATTTGAGTTTCATTCTATGTAGACCACGCGTGAAGATGCGAACAGAAAAGAAGCTGCTTCTCGCAAAGTACCCACCACGAGCTCACAAGGCGTTAAAATTGAGTCGGAGGTTAGTCGGATCTCATAATTAGATTACCTACTTTGTACACTTTGTTTTCTTCCATTCAGCTTGACGATCTACATCCTTTCGAAGCCGCTGGTGTTTCTCGTATAGACGACTACCATCACGTCGACTCCAGCGATGCTTATTCGGAGATAGAAGAATTTGAAGAGGGCGGACGCTATGACCTCTCACACTATAGTGGAGTTGATGTACGTCTCTTGTTTTCTCGATGCATTAGCGTAACGATTTCTAGCTGTTCCTTATTTAGGTTTACGCGGAAGAGAAATTTGATAGCAATTTTGTCCCGACACCGCATGTAAATCGCAGAAGAGGTCGACCGAAGAATCCTCCTGGCACTGTAAGTTGTTGAGTCTTACGACTCTGGTAAATTCTGGAAAGAATTCATAGTTTGTTTTCTAGGAACCCGCTCCAAATTCCAAGATTCGTGTGAGCGATCCAAATGGAAAGTACAAATGTTACATGCCAGACTGTGATTGGAGAGGCGCATATAGATCACTTCGTTGCGATCACATGAAATGGTGCCATAAGGATTGGGTGATGCCTCC